TTCTGACCCGTTTCTCTGATTCTACCAGAGTTTCTGACCCGTTTCTCTGATTCTACCAGAGTTTCTGACCCGTTTCACTGATTCTACCAGAGTTTCTGACCCGTTTCTCTGATTCTACCAGAGTTTCATCCCATCTGCTGGTTCTGGAGCAGAATCTTCTTCCAGCAGCTCAAAGTTCTGCTTCCCTCTGACAGCAGGTCGGTCCAGCTGCTCTGCTGACCCACTGGATGGAGGAGGACGTCTTCTGTCCACTGGACCCGGTTCCTCCTGGTTTCCTGTGTTTCACAGCGACTGAGAGCAGAACCGGGCCTGGGTTTGAGGTTCCTCTCTGGTTCCTGTCATGTGACCTGCTGGTTCTGCTGCGGCACCAGAAGGTCCAACTCGTCTCTGGCAGCATGGAGGAGACAAACCGTCCTGTCCCCGTCTCGTTTCTGTCCGTCTCTGGACAGACTTAGGAGAAAAGCTGCGTCTTTAACGGATGTTCTGGTTCTGCTGCTGCACTGATCGGTTCTGATCCACAACAAACCAGCAGCTGGAGTGAGAGACTGAACCGGGCTTTAACCGGGTCATGTTTCTACAACTCTGAACTGAAACAGAACCAGAACAGATTTGGACCTTTCTTTCCACCAATGAGGTTTTTCCCCAGTTTAATTAAAGGTCCTCTCTGGTTGGTTCTGGAGGATCATCACTGCTGCTGCTCTGATCGGGTCTCAGTTCTGATCTCTCTGCTGCTTTAAGGCCAAACATCCCAGAATAACCTTCACTGTTAAACATCCTGCAGCTCTGCTACCAGCAGAACCAGAACCAAACTGGGAACAAACACCAACTCCACCAGTAACTCAAACTGGGCCGACTGGTGTGTGGAGAGGAGAACCAGCTGGTCCAGTTCCTCTCCCAGTCTGGATCAGGGTGAGTCCAGCAGCAGAGCTTCAGTCTGTGGACTGAGGAGAGACATGAGGCCTGGAGGAACCAGAGAGGAACCGGATCATCTACCAGGAGGAACCAGAGAGGAACCGGATCATCTACCTGGAGGAACCAGAGAGGAACCGGATCATCTACCTAGAGGAACCGGATCATCTACCTGGAGGAACCACAGAGGATAAAACCACTGATCTGATCGGTTCTGGTTGGACCCAGATCGTCCCTCTTCAGGATTCTCACCCTGTTTCTCATTCATATTGGTGTGGATGGAGACGCTGCGAGGCCTTCAACAAAAACTATCTCAGATTCTTTTATTCAGTAAATATTTAAAAAACCCAAAGTGTCTAAAAGCTAAAAAACTTGGAACAATTTTGCTGTTTTTGTTTGCATCAGAGTTTAAATTACATCAAATTTTCTCTGAAGTTTCTCTGCTTTTTGTTTTTAGTCTTATTTCTATAAAAAAAAACACTGATTTGTTCTGGTTGGATCCACATCTCTACTCAGGATTCCTTCTCTGTTTCTCATTCGTGTCTCTCTGTATGGAGACTCAGAAAGGTTTTCATAAAAAACTGACGACATGCTTTTTTAAAAACCTTTTTTAAAAGATGCCACAGTGTCTAAATGCTGAGAACATTGTTAGTGTTTCCTGTTTTTATCATAGCTAAAACGGAAGGAAACATCAAACTTAGATGTTTCTCTGCTGCACATGATCAAACTACAGCATCAGATTCTGAACATTTATTGTTTCATGTCAGAGTGAAATGATTTGTTTTCCTAGAACTAAAATTTATAGAACAAAATATGCATACATTCTTTTATATCATGACTTTTATATCTATTTATATCTTTGATATTTATTCATTTATGGATAAAACTCCTGAAGTTGTTTTGACCATAAACATTTTAAAAATGAAGGAAAGAAAAGGCTCAACAAATCTTCCCAAGAAAGAGAAAAAATAGAAACTGGATCAGGTTCTTATAAAGGTTCTGTAAATTAATTTAAATAACTTCTGAGACATTTTGTCTGAAGATGTTTCATCGTGCAGCGAACACAGATTCACTCAGCATTGGAGCATAAGCCCTGCTATGTGGTGAACCCAGGGAGGTTCCTGAGAATAAAGCCGGTTTAGTTTTTTAGGGTATTTGAACCATTTTAAACCTGGTAACACAGAAGAGCTTCATTAGTGGTAAATACAATGAAAACACTTTGGTTCAACATGATGTTGAAAATGGTTGAAAATATGCATAATATTCATTGTTAGCAGTAACTTCCATAACAATGATGTAACTGCTGTTGTTCAAACTCTCCATTTCTCAGTTTGGATCTTCTAAATAATTTATTTTACTTATTTGTTAATTAATGCAGGTTAATATCTTGGTAAAATGACATAAGTGATTGAATTAGCAAAATAACTCTTTCATCAATCAAAGTTAATTTAATTTTAATTCATATTCTCAAAAAGTCTCGACATATCAGGTTCTTTTGTGTGTGTGTGTGTGTGTGTGTGTGTGTGTGTGTGTGTGTGTGTGTGTGTGTGTGTGTGTGTGTGTGTGTGTGTGTGTCTGCGTGTCCTACTTCCCATTAGCAAAAACAAAAATTATCAATAAATGGTGAAATCAACACAAACCTCCAGTTTGGTTGAAGCGTGACTTCAGAATTTCAATGTTGGCTTTGTAGGTCTGCTGGGTACCCTGAAGGCCTCCAGTCTGACCATCCCAGTACTGCTGATCCATGTTGTCCCTCATCCAGTCCTGTGTTGGCACGGCTTTCCCAGTGTTGCTGTCATAGTGAACCATCTGAACATCATCAACCAACCCAACAGCCACAAACTCTGGGAAGTTTGGGACTTGAGAGGATGCAGTGTAGAAATACTTCAGAGAATGGGTCACTGAAAAAAGACAATAGGATTTAAGAATATATGAATCAACAAAATAATTAAACATTTTCAACAAGTTCAACAAATCAAACAGCAACTTTATCAATAGAAATAATTACTTTCAATCTTAATATAAAAAAAATTCAGAAAGATTTTAATTGCTTTGATGATTTTTGAGGGATGTATTTACTGAACACAAAACATTTTATGAGCCATATATTTATTACATTGTTTTACACCATTCTATTTTTAAACAGCGAGCTTTGCTTTATTAGGATATATCAATATGTTGCATATAAGTGTGCCACTAAATGGTTCTACTGTTTAATTATACTTAAAATTTTAAAAACATCAATTTCATTGTTTTTTTTTGTTTCTTCCATTATTATTTTTTGAAGCTTGAGTTTCCTCTAATATTTAAGTTTGCACATCCTAAATGTTATTTTTATTTTGAATAATCTAGATACACACTGACAACAGCTTGTGAAAGATTTCAAATGCTAAAATAAAAACAAAAAGTTATATTATACAATTAAAGCAATTCAAATGTCTATTGCATTTTTAAATAAAATGGAGTTTAGTTGCTTTTCATAGAAGACTTGAAATGTTAACTGTAGGACCTTCAGTCAAATGCTAAAATTCTCTAAAAATAACAATAATACTGTTACAAATTAACATCACATTCAACTTGGATTTTATTAAGCATGTTTTCTGGTAAAAATTAGTTGATATTAAAACAGAAAGAAAATCTTTGTCACTGTTGATATTATAAATAAGCAAAT